AGTTTATCAGTAATCCTAAAAAATAACACTGAGCCAAACACACATGCTAAAAAACAACAACTTACTTACACATAGTAAGAAATGGTTATAAAAACTGAAACAGAAGCTAAACAAGTAATAGGAAAGAGGAGAAATAAAAAGCGATACTTATTATATTATATATATAATAATATAATATAATATATAATAATATATAATATCTTAGTATATATATATATATTTTTTTTTTAAATGTGATAGTTTGCATTTATGAATATGAATATAAAAATGTATAAATACTTGCAATTTAATAAATAAATGAATAAATACAGTAAATTAAAAAAAGTATTTTGTAAAAGCATCAATTGTTTAATCATAGATGAATACAGGCGACTGTGCATCCAGAGGCTTCCGTTTGCCACCGGTAACGGCGGCATCATCCACGACGGCAACGGCGGTCTGAACATCGGCGGCTACGGCAAAGGTCCCTCGCACAACGGAAACGGCGGCGGCTACATTTATGGCGGCGATCACACCATCGGAAACGGCAATGGCGGCAACGGCGGCCAGAAGATTCAGATCAGTGAGTGGAAGTTGCCAGTTTTTACCTTCAACTAACAATCCGAAGCTAAGAAATCGATGGTGTTTTATTGTTTGTGCTCAGGCCTGCTGAACGAGACGACGATTGACGTGTGCAAGCATTTTACCAACCTGTGCCTGAACGGCCGCTGCGTTCCCACGCCGACCAGCTACCGCTGCGAATGCAACATGGGATACAGGCAGGACGTGCGCGGGGAGTGCATCGGTAAACCTGTGCATTCATCTTTAAGTGAAAGTCAAGAAAAGCCTGTTTTTTTTTATGTTGACATGGTCTGAAATGCTGCCATCTGTAGGCGGTTTGCTTGACTTCCACAGGCCTCAGGGTTATAAACATAGCAGATTGTGTCAATATTTTAACACATATTATTGATTAATAGTGTTAATGGTCTCTCATACGTCTGCTTTCTACCCTCAGATGTGGACGAGTGCATCAGTAACCCCTGTGTGAATGGAGACTGTGTCAACACACAAGGATCGTATCACTGTAAATGTCACGAGGGATACCAGGGAACTCCCACCAAACAGGCCTGCATTGGTGTGTGGCATGATATTATTCTATTTCATGCCAAAAGCATTTCTTTAGTTTCTAATTGTAGGGCTAGAACACGTTTAATGCTAACATTTTTACATTCAAAATTCTTTATGGCTAAAAAAACAGCTTTAAAGTAGGAAATATCATTACATTATAATTTACAGTCTTGTACTCCATGACCAAAATATTATTTTAAATTTTTTTATTATCATTATTTTATTTTTCTCATTTTTTAAGCAATTAAAAAAAATAAATGCATAATATTTTAATTACAGCTAAA